GTTAATCATATGATCATCAATTTCCAACAATCATTTCTTCCTTTGATATATGTTAGAAAGTATATGCTAAATTATTCATTAATAACACTTCAAAGGCCTTTACTCATACATACTTCCAATTCTAATAACAGATTTATCATTTTTCTATATTTTGCTTCCACATTTACGTCATCATTATAAAATTGCCCATTAAAATTTTATCCATATATTTTTTTAAAGTGATTGAGTCAATCAGACTCGAAACTTAATAATTTCTGTGTTTTTATCCTAAAACCAATTGATTTCGATTACACCCTATATAAATCAGCCCCATTAAAAACGATTATCTAACAATAGCATCATGGTTTTTTTCTTATAATCCTCTTCCAAACTCTCTAAATATTCACTTTTCAATCACCTAAATTTGCAGTCAGATTTCATTTGTTTTACTCACAATAATATGATAGAGTTCTTCCCATATTTTAAAATACTTTATGTTTTCATTACAATAACCACAAATTTAGTAATTATAATTATATCATCTACTTTTGTATTTATCTAATATTCAAATGGTTCTAATGATGATGCAAGCAAATTATTTTTATAAATAGCAAAATCTCAATTTATCAAAGAGCTAATTATAAATAATTATGGATATAATAAATAATAATATATTCATTAATTTTAGCAATTGTAGCATTTGTACTCTCCTTTAACATATTCCACCTAAGAAGGCCAATTTTGATAAGAAAAAGCGGATAAGCATTCGAAACAATATAAGTTTTCAAAAAATTGGCATGCTTCCTCACATAAGTACTTGGATTCTCCATTAGTATCATTAACTTTTCTCTTTATATTTCTTCTAGCACATTTTGATGAACAGTAAAAACATTATTCCTTTATATCACATTGTTTACAAAAAGTGGGTTGCTTTTATAAAGTTAACGCACATTGTAATGCACATTGATTACATCTCTAATCCAAACAATCTCTCTAACAATCTTCGCATATTTTTAAATCTAACGCTTACTTCAATACCCTATTCAGATTAAATTTAAATTAATTTCCGCAGCATTCGCAAATTTCAGTCAATTCATTAACCTAAGTGCAACTTTGGCAAGTGTCGTCATTATCAATTTAACCTTTGTATTTATCATAATTAATTTAGAAAATATCATTACAAACATTGCAAATTGCATTCACATTTTGAATGTTAAGTTATTACAGCTGTGTAAATATTCTGTTTTCAGGAATTTTATCATCATCATCATTTCTCTATAATCCTAAAAATTTGCAAACTTCATTGCACTAATTATGCTAAGTTGAAAAAAATCTTTAAATTCCTAAATCGCCATGATTTGTTTCATCTATCAAGTATGTAATTACCTTAGAGGTATGTATGCATGGATCGGAAAGGACTCCTTGTTTCCCTTATAGATCAGTAAATCACTAAGCTTCGATTTGTAAAATGATATGTAAAAATGACAAAAAGCAAAATAGTTTTCTTTCTCCTTATCTATGAAATTGGGA